TTCACAACAGCAAGGCCCCTTCCCCTTTCTTCTGGCTTAGTTATTTCATAGGCAAAGAAAAGACTACAATATAGACCTCTGGATAGGTTTCTGGGTTTCTTGCATCTCATTAGATGTTTTTGATGGAAAGCTTTTCTCCTCCCCCCTTATTTTTATTTTTATTTTATTTTTATTTTTTGTTAAAGCATAGAGTTAGCACTCAAGTCATGGCAGCAGTGCAGGTTTGGCCTTGACAGACTATAATTAATATCCAAGGGTCTGATGGAGACCTAGAGGTGGAAGAATGACTACCGAGATAAATATCCCTGTTATTGTGGCATCATTGCATATAAGCTTTCACCTGCTGCTAAATCCCTTCTTGGTTCTCAAGGCAATAATTTATCTGAACAATGGAGCTACGATGGCAGGAGATACTCATGAGCACAGATGAGGGGTAGGGATTTGTGAATAAGCCATAGGGGACTGGCTATCCTAGGGCCAAAATGTATCCAGGCTGAATATGAAAATAATAGGAATTTTGTCATTTTTGCTAAACACAAATGGCAGATCTGTCTGTACTAAAAATAACCATGTATTGCTCCTTTTTCTTTGTGCTGATGAGAATGAGAGCCACCTATCCACATTCTATACCTTTTTTGCCATATTTTTATTTTTTGGAAACATCATGCCTTCCAGATGTGTTAGATGATAAACTCCCATAATCCTGTAGGGGGTAAGCGGAAGCCTACCCATTGTTCTCATGTCCCACTGGCAAGCTTCCTGTAGGCACATGGCTGGCTGGTGACTAAACAGAATGATGGATTAGTTGGGTCTCCGGTCTGGTCCACCATGGCTCTTCTTATGTTCATATCTGGAGTAATAATAATGCTGAAATTGGAACCAGCTGATATCTGGGAAGTGGTTTGATGCCTCTGGCATGACTACAGGGTTTGGGGTTTTTGCTTCAATAAAGGGTTTGTATTTTTTGCTGAATGATTTTTCCCATGATATGATCACATGTCCTTAGCATTTAAGAGAGCCAGAAAACAGCTAATTAATCCTTGGCAAAAGCAGTCTGTTGTTGAAGCTGTTTATTTTAACATTTAAGCATGAAGGGAAAGTGGCAAAGCCAAATGTCCTGTTTCTTGGAGTTGTAAGACTGCGCATCTCCCTCTCGTTTCATTTTAAGATTCAGGTGCCATGCAGCATCTGGCTTGGTTACTGAAGTGACAGCCAAGTGTTTGTCAAAGAGGTGAGTTTTAATACCAGTCAGAGAAGGGTACAATGAGGAATGAAACAAATAGATCCCACACCTAGAAGATCTTGATCCCCTTCTAGCACTGGAGTCCAGGGCCAAAAGGTTGTGATTCTATAACTAAAAATGTAAATTCACACAAGGGGGCTTGTGATCTACTTTGGCACTTGTGTATATACATGGCTATAGTTCTGTGTGCACACCTGCAGCTGAGTTTGCATGTGGCACCCAAGACAATAGGCCCATTGCTTAGATGGCCTCTAGACACCACAAGCAATATAAATGGTAATTTCCTGATGAAGTCATTTTGTTTGGAGTGGCTGGATTACTCCAGAAAGCCCTTGAACACATGACCCTGATTTCTAACGGCTATCCCTCCTTCCATATGTGATTGAGCACAGTGCTGCAGGTCGAAGTGCCCACTGAGGCGCATAAACATTCAAACAGTTTCAACAGCTGCAACAGACTCTCTGGCAGTTGTCTTTACTGCTATGACATTTTCTCAAAAGGTCTTTTCCGATTCCCTATCTTTAAACTTTCTGAGTCTTTTGGAATGGTTTATATTTCTCTTCATAACATGCAAGCAAATAGAATTGAAAATCACTGTTATTATGATCTGGCTTGTTTGAGAAGAAAATTACCTTGGCGGTTTTTCCTGACTTCTAAATCTCATAAAATAGGATGGGGTGGGGTAGGTAGTTTTATATTCCAAAATGGCAGGACGTATTTCCTGCAGTGATCTGCCTTTAAGCCTGGATTCTCATGCTTAATTCAGATAACCATATTGTTAAAAGACGTGGGAGTTAATATTGAAGTGTGAGGGAAAACAGCAAGCTCACCTTACCCCCTCCATTGTTCCTTAGCTCATATGAAGTTTTAAGGCTGAAAAGGGGAGACTTGTCTAGCCGTGAAAGTGCTCCATATGAGCTAGAATGCAGGTTTTGGCTCATGGGGAAAGCCTTCCTGAATTGACGAGTCTCCCTCCTTCAGACCTGTCACATCATATGAACAAAATGGTGGCAGAGGAGCAGGGATCAGCTCACTCTCCTTTCTCGCGCGCATTTAGCTGCCTGAATTCTAAACACCTGAGCAGAGCTTATGTGGGATGGGAGATATTGCACCTGTGGAGCATCTGCTCTCCTCAGAGATTTTAAGAAAGGCCACACATAGTCTCCTAAAGCCTTAAATGTGACTTGTGCTACCAGTGCTAAATTTCTTCTCCCATTCCTGTCAATTTTGTACATGTTATTCATTTTTTTTGACTCTTAGCGGAGAGGAAAAAAAGACATTGCTGAGGATCATTAGAAAAGAGAACAGGATGGAGAAAAGGCTCTCTTTTCCTAGTAACACAAGAGGACCAGTGGAATATGATGTGTGCATTTTATGTGTGCATATACGGCCTTTGACTGCACATCACATGAGGCTTCACTGCTGACCAGGTCATATCTGCCTATCTTAGAGAGATAGAAGCCATCTCTAGAAATAAGACAGCTTTCCCCACATGTAGCAACCTTTGTGAGCTCCAGCCAGCAGGGCAAATAGTAAAGGATGATGGGAGCTATGATCTAAAGCATCTGGGGACTGCTATGTAGGGGAAGGCTAGAATGTAGTCATCCTCCCTTTAGCAGCTCTCCATGTCAAGTCTGATTAGCCAAAAGCAATACTTTTTTTTTGCACTTTGTCCCTATGCTCCTGTAGAAAAGAGCAAGATCCAAATCTTTAAAAATCCCAAGCAATTAGCCTGTATCTGTCTTCAGTACTTATTATGCCACCCTGTTTGTCATTGTAGCTTGGATAATGGCAGCAGTGGTGAGTGTAGGTTTCAGTGTAACATGAAAGGGCAAGGAGCAAGGCTTGTTCACCCATGCATTCAGTGTGGCCCTTCTGGGTGTCTTGGAAACAAACTTCCCCCCTCCCACACTCACCAATCAGTCATATAATGAAGGAAGGACAGCAGTCTTTGTGATCAAATGGATGCAATTAGGAATGTATAGTGGCTGTCTCTGTACTCATTAGCCATTAGCTGCCATTTCAGCTGGACAATGAGGCCTCTTTGAGGGCTCATGCTTATTTCATGGCAGCAACCATATCTCTAGTCTTGACCCTGCAAGTCAAGCACACACTGTTTGTTTGTGGAGCAGTTGGCCACGGTGGCATAGCAAACTCCCCTCTTTTGTTTTAATTCTCTTAAGAGTCTCCAAAATGCAGACAGTTGGTTGAAGCTAAAAGAGGGGAGGAAATTTGTTGCTGTTTATGTTTCTTTTGTTCCATTCATCCAGAAACTTGAAAACATTTCTTTTTAAATTACAGCTTCCAGAGTCCCTCAGCCATTTTGGAGGATTCTGGGGTCTGTAGTCTAAAAAAACACTAAGCTTCGCCTTTATCCAGACTCCCGTTTACCACAGTTCAATGCATTTGTCCAAAGTTCCATTCATTACATAGTCAGACAAAATCATTTCCTTCAGTAGTGGGAGATAATCAGTGGACATAGCAGGTGCTTGTCCGTGGTTCCACGTGTCAGTGTCTCCTTTGCTCTTGTAAGGGTACTAGGACATAAATGGCCAAACAGCTAGCAAGTATGGAACATATATGCCATACTTTCATCACTGTTGTACTTTGCATGAAGCAAAAAAGGTTGCCCATACTCAGCAGGATTTCGGAGCAGACTTTGTGCAGCCCATGTTCCATTTTGCTGGCTTATCTGGGTCTAAAACACCATTCCCAGTCATGTTTTTCCCCAGTACTCCCCTTGGCAAACCCCACCAGTCCTCCCACTGTCTACTAATAGTTTTGCTCTTTGATTTCAATTTTAAAAAGAGAAAGAGAATAGGGAAAAATAGAGTCACATCTTCATTTTGTAGAGCAGAATCTGAAACAGAACAGCCATAGCAGAAATCGTTTCACAGGATAGCGATTTGAACAGCACAGAACAAGCTTCTGTATAAGCTTCAGTTTCAAAATACAGTACTCAATGATTATTAAACCAATTATATAGTTGTGAGGGTACAAAGAGAGAAGATAGGTACTGTAAGCTGTCAGAGGCGTCAGGATGAAGTAGGCAAAGGGGGAAAGGGATATTGCAGAAACATAATTCAGGCCCCTGTAAACATAAGAAATAGTTTAAGGGTGGCAGTCTCCTTATTTTAATATGAACATAAAATATCAGTAACCTGCCTGTCCTAAAGATGAGCCCTCTGTGATATATGATACTAATATAGGAAACATAAAATCTTAATAGGCAAATTCTGTTCTGTTTTTGAGTGAAAATAGCACATATGAATAGAAATTGAAAAAGTTGCATGTTTAGATTACAACTCCCAGAATGCTCAACCGACATCCAGTCCAAAAATGTAATTATTTCCAAGCTCTGCATATAGAACCAGAATAATTCTGCAGGGCAAAGGACGATACAGGTATCGTATATTTTGCATACAGAACTTTAGCAAATTATCAGTGCATTTTATTTCAACACTTGCAGCAGAGATTGTGTTACTGTTGTACCTGAGAACATCAGGCTAGTCTAAGGGGTGGAGGGCAGGCTTTGTAGATCTGGCCTCCAAGAGAATGAAAGCCTCAAGTAAAATGAACAGCTAGGAGGGCTGCCATTCAGTTGCTCAGGACCTGCTGTCTCAAGCCATCATCACCTTACCCGGCTTGATGGTAGGGGCCGGCTCTGTTGGGAAATATGCCCCTGAGACTATCTCTATTGCACAGCATCCTTTGCCTATTTTTGTCCCTTCTAGTGATTCTGTTCTTTCCTTCACAGAGAGCTGAATGGAAACAACATAACCCGTATCACCAGAAACGACTTTGCTGGGCTGAAGCAGCTGAGAGTTCTGTGAGTGATACCTCCTTCCTGTTTCCATACAATCCTCTCCCTCTCAACTCCATTTGCACTTAAAACTATTCCATGTAGGACCACCAATTTGGTGGATTTACTCTCTCTCTCTCTGTCTGGTTTCTGTCTCGACAGAGCCATTCCAGTCAAGAGCAACTCTTGTTATTATGATGCTGAGCCTCTTCTGCCCTCCCTTGTCCTCCCTCTTTTCCCTTGTGTTGTCTGACACTCTTATCACTTTTATAGGCAACTGATGGAAAACCAGATCAGTGTGGTGGAGCGAGGGGTGTTCGATGACATGAAAGAACTGGAGCGACTGTGAGTGTTTCTGGGATCTACATGTGGCTTGAAAACTAGGGGTGTGAAGACAACAAAAAGAAGGGAAAAGGATGACATTTCCCAAAAAGAAACCTCCGCTGACTTTCTCCTCCTGTCACATAGACCCTTTCCAGGCACTGGTGCACATAGTGGGTTTGTTTGGTCCAAGGTGGAATTTAGCAAGGGTGGAGAGAGTTCACCTCATGGTCAAAGGCAGTCAACCTTGGCACCTGCATCAAGAACTATTTCTCTCCTCCACCACCCCTCCTGCTGACACAAGCAGATGGTGTGAGCACTATGTGTTTTTACACCCAGCTCTGAACAGCCTGGCTGGCATTTACACCCAGATGCTTCCCAATCTGTTCACCGTTCTTTTCAGATCCAAAATAATTTGCTGCAGTGTGCATTCAATTAGGGGCAGTGCACAATCAACCCACGCTATCTCTGCATTTTTTCTGCATGGCAGCTGTAAAACGCCACCTGCAAAATGTGCTGCTGCTGATGCCTCTGAACATGCCCTTCCCTTCCCTTGCTCCACTGCTGCCAGAACCAGGGAGGTGGGGGCTAGCCTCGCCTAGTACGAGTGGAAATGCTCATTATTATACAGAATCGTTACTACTCTAATTGCTGTTGATAGATGAACAGTGTTTATGATAGAGCATTGTCAAGGTAGAATGTCACCCCAGAAAGCACTTCAGTCTACACTGTTGTTTAGTCCTTAAATCGTGTCTGACTCTTCGTGACCCCATGGACCGGAGCACGCCAGGCCCTCCTGTCTTCCCCCCCCCTCTGGAGTTTGGTCAAATTCACGTTGGTCGCTTTTTTTCTTAATGCCATGACCACTTCCTGCCTTTCAACTATGGCCTGTCTAAATCTTCAAACTAAAACACCCAAAATTTAGCTTTAACTAATTTGTGCCTCAGTTCTTAACCTGTTGCTGCTATTAATTTCTGACATAAATTTATTTCCTTTGTTTTCTTGCTTTTAAGAAGTTTAAGACGTTCCAAATAAGGTTATAGACTTTGACCAACACATCTGTATAGTTTATCTATTCATTCATTTTAAATCATTTATACCCTACTTTTCTCTGTGAAATACTCACTTGGGCTTATTTTATTGCAGTTCTCCATTATGTTTTGAAATTTCAGAGATGAAACTAAAACCATAGATGGCCAAAAAGCATTAGTTAAGGACTTAGGGGGTTAGTCTAATTATACTCTCAATCAGATCCTTTTGTTAGAAGGCTGTGGGGGACATGAGTTGGCTGAAATTGGGAGAGATTCCATGTAGGTGTTTATGGAGTTCAACGAGGAACCTTATGCATTCCCCACCCCACCCCAGTTTGAGCACTCTGTGTGTGTGTATGTGTGTGTAAACTGTACACCAAGTGCAGAAAGATCAAGACAATTTGAAAGTGGTTGCCCCCCCTTTACTGGTTAAAAGGAAGCGTTTCACTGTAGTTATTTTGTAGGATTCATGTTATTAAGTCTGGTCTAATTTTCAGATTTTATTTCATTTCCCCCTCGTTTCTAAGAAATTAACAAATATGTAATAAGGCAATTAAACATAGGGATAATAGTATGCATTTCCCAGTGGTGACGTGGCAAAATTTCAGGATAATTCTTAAAAATTTCTAGGCATTCTGTGCTAAGGCTAGCAAAGAATGATAGTGTTGCTATCTTCAGGCAAGATAAATGTCATAATAAATTGGGTTCAGTAACACCTTCTGTTTCTGCGGTGGATATGTGAATATGTGTCAATGCTTACTATACTTCCCTTCCACCATTTCTCTAGACGTTTGAATCGGAACCAGCTGCACATGTTGCCAGAGCTCCTGTTCCAGAATAACCAAGCGTTGTCACGGCTGTAAGTACCTGGATGTATCTTTTCTGAAGTTTAATGTTGTGCTTTTCTGCTTTTTTTTAAAAAGTATATTAATATTGAGAGTATGCTGCAGTATTCGTGGCCAGGATCTGATGGTTGTTGTGGGTTTTTCGGGCTCTTTGGCCGTGTTCTGAAGGTTGTTCTTCCTGACATTTCACCAGTTACTACTCCTGCCCTCTGAAGATGCCGGCCACAGGGACTGGCGAAACGTCAGGAAGAACAACCTTCAGAACACGGCCAAAGAGCCCGAAAAACCCACAGCAACCATATGCTGCAGTACTTTAATGGGAGTGTAGCACCCTACTCTGCCAGTTTAAAGTGCAGTGTCTTAAAAACATGTACTGGAGGAGTTATTACAGTAGATACTGTACAAGAATGTGAACCTGTAGTGTGACTTCTTTGCTCTGTCTGAATGAGAAGCAGATAACTTTTGTCTAGTCTAAAGATCTTGCTGCACCTTGGGCTCCTGGTCAGAGTGGCTGAAATGCTATTCAGGTTGGTGTAATGTAAAGTTATGCCTGTGAGAGTGAGCCAGGTGTTATGCCCAGCATTGCACAATTTGACTGCAGAGTTAATCGAATGGTTCATGCCATGACTGTCGCGTGACACACCTGTAGAACTCCTTCATGGATTCTGCCATGCCAAGACTTTTTTTCTACTGCTTCTGCAGTTTTGCATTATGTGTGTGTAGATGTAAAACCAGATTTCAGCTTTTGAGTTGAAAGGCCACAGGGCAAACTGATATTGGTGCTGACTGATAATGATGATCCTGTGAGGTTCTTGAGAAGTTTCTGCAGTTCACATATGTGGAACACATGTGGACACATATGTGTATGCATGAGTTGCTACAGTCTCTGCATGAACAATAGCTTTGCTGAATGTCTGTGTAAGCTGCTATGTGGTGTTCTTCTGTGTACAGTACTGTATTACTCTGTAATAGCAATGTCAGATCCTGTTTCCTGCAGCATTAGGACCATTGAAGGGCAAAGGTGCCATCTACTGTAGGGGATTGGCAAGTATGTATTACAAGCGCTGAATCATTTGCAGCAGTCCTATTTACGTATCTGTTTGCATGGAACACATGCAGCATACCTCTGCAGTGTGAATTGCATGTGTCAGGTCCATTGGATCATTTTGATTCACTTTGATCATCAGAAGTGCTCTAAGAAGTACTGAGGACAGGAGAAGAAAACTGAAGTCTCCGCAAAAGGTAGAAAGAAGAGGTCTTTGGAATTAGGAACATATTAGTACTCTACCCCTCCCTTCTTTAGAACAATACATTAAATTTACAGTACAGTATACTCTTAGAGCTGCAGTGAGGAAGAATAGTTATTTGGGAAACTAGAGTGCTGCTGACTCATAGTAAAAATAATGGAAGGGAAGAGTCATGAACTGGAAACTATGAACCTCACAGTGAGATTGAAAAGCTTGCAACCTGTAATATCATTTCCAGTGATGGAAACCATTTCTAAAGAAACTAGCTGTATCATGGTCACATCTTGATTGTTAAGTGATGCTGAGGCTGCACGTTAGCTGTAAGTTTTTACATTCGAAAAATATTGATTATTGATCAGTTAGGCTGAACCATGTTTATGCATTTTTGGAGCAGTTACAGTTTATAGCTTGCCTGCAAATACATTTTGGAAGATTATGAGGGCATGATCATATTGATACATATAGCTGCATCATTGGTTTTTATTATAATAATAATAATTCATGTTATTAAGTCTGGCCTAATTTTCAGATTTTACTGTACAGCACTACTACTACTACTACTACTACTACTACTACTACTACTACTACTACTACTACTACTACTAATAATAATAATAATAATAATAATAATAATAATAATAATAATAATAATAATAATGTAACAGACAAACAAACAACACATACAAAACATACATGCAGGGAAGTGTTTACCATAGTACAATATCTAATACATAATCTTGAGTCCATAACTGTGTTATAGTACTAAAACCTTTAACCTATGTTATATTCTCTGCTCATGTTTATTTCTGGGCTCAATCACAAAACATTTTTCAGTTTTCTTTAAGATAACTTCTCAAATTCTCAGATAATATCTCTAACAAGCTATCCCATTTTAAGCCCATTAATTTCAGCTGCATTGTTGACAGAAGAAGATTCACATGTACCTTTGGTTCCATAATGTTTGAGATGAAACAGTTCTGAAGAGGTAGAAATGAGTGAAGTAATTCAATACTGTGCACTGAAATGTTTATTCTACGAATTTATGGTGGTTGTAAGAGAATTTTATATTGATGCTGATTTGATTTATATGCATGTTGTGTCCTATCAAGTTGCTTCTGACTTATGGTGACCATAATAGGGTTCCAAGAAATGTGAAATATTTAAAGAAGTGGTCTAACATTGCCACCTCCCACAGCCGAACAGGGATTTGAATCCTGGATTACTGAGTCTAACACTTTCCACTGTATTACGCTTGTTCTTATTCACCAGATTTAGTATAATAGAATTGTATGTGTGTGAGTTATCCCACAAAAATGGCTGAGATAAGCCAGGTGTAAGTGAGAAATGGATTTCTATATTGCTTTGTTGAATGTAAATCTAAATGTTTTGCCACCCTAGTTGAACAAGCAATGCATAATTACTTCTCTCCTCCCTTCCTAACTTCAATAAAATCATAAAGTAAATGGTGTATTAATAAAAGGAAAAGATTACTCACAAATGAATTAAAGATACATTTTTCTAGTAATATCATTCATGTGTAGAAGATAAAATAAAAATTATCTGTGTGTGCTTGTTTACTTTGAAATCCCACGCTAAAAGCTTTAAATATGTCATCTAAGAAATATAATTATGTGCTTCTTTATTGCTTCCATAAATGCAAAGGTAATAGTGACTTGCATACCATGGTTTGTTCTATGCACTGGCAGCTGCTAACAAAACATTATCAAAATCATAGGGGATGGGCATCTGCAGAGGCTCATTATCACATATTTCAGGGATGTGAAAAAGGCTTCTGGCAAAGCTTTTGAGTCAGAAAAAAAAACCCCACTTACATTATTAAATTGTGCATCCCCCACGCACACTGAAGGTGGGAGTGCAAGCAAAAATGACAGCTTGAAATAGGAATGCCACTGGTAGAAACAAATTTGTGACTTAAAACTATGCCTTTGGGTTTGAATAGTTACTTGGATTTTTGAGCATATGCAAAGATGGGTGAAGATAGCAATGAATCATTTCATTTATCTTGTTCTTGTCCACACCCACCACTCTCCATCTTCCAGCGTTATCTGATTTACAGAAATAAATGTCTGTGTCGCAGTGACTAATATTCTGGAGCTTCGTGCATGGATCTTCACAGCTGCAATTAAAGTAGTTTAATTTATTATTAACTCCCCCATACAAATGACATGCTTATAGCGCATTCCTGTCCACACTCCAAATTAGAGTTCTTAGACGAAGAAGAAGGGTTGCAATTAAACTGGTGGTGTGTAGTGATGTTTTTCATTATCTGTTTATTCTCCTTTCATTTACAAATGATGTTTTTAGCAGAATATTTTTTGAAAGAGATTAAAAGTGTACAAATCAATGAAACCACAGAAGAGCAGAATATTAATGAGTGTTATCCAGGATGGTAGCATGCAATCTTGCATTGCTTAAATCACATGTTAGTAAAAGTTTGAACATGTGATAGAGAACAGAAGTTCTATTTCTTTCCTGTTCACTATTTCTGTCGCTCTCCAAACTGGTCCCTGTCAGAGTTAAGAGAGATGAATAATTGGCAGAATATAGCAGGATTTTCTTTGAGCACCACCAACTCCAGGCCCCATTTTTACCTATGCAAGTCAAACATTGCAAACCATCTGAAACTGTATTGGAAAGAAAGACATTGTTTGGTTTTTTTCATTGTGCTATTTGAGTATCCAGTGATTCAAGACCAGTCCAGCAGTCTCAGCCAGTGGGTGGCATGCTCTCACTGGGAAATGGGCACAACGACTACATAAGGAACTTGAGAGATTTCAGAGGGGTCCTTTTTTCCCTTCATTTTATGGTGTGCCAGGTCAATTCCCCTGGAATGTCAATTTGGCCTGGGTTATTAAGGGTTCCATTCTCCAGAACAACAAGGGGAAAGGGGTATGTGTACTCCAAGACCTGCTTCTCATCCAGATGCAAGACCTTAGAAACGGGTGTAAAAGGAAGTACCAAGGAGATGGTTTCCTCTGCTTTGTATGTGACATAAAAGGACAAGAGACGGGATAGGCCGGTGCCAATGCCCCGCAAAAGGCATGGTTTCTGAGGCAGCCGTTACCATGGTAGTTGATGACTTGATCTGGCTCCTTGCCATTGGCCAGCGACTTGGCTTCTTCAAACCTTTAAACAGTTGCTCACTGTTGTTGGATAGTGTGTTCCTCCTGACAGTGTGTCTCCCTATAAATAAAAACATAGCAGTTTGTCGATTTATGTGAGAGATCTGGTGTGCACAGTGAGGTGGCCCTCCCCGCAAGGGAGTAAGAATGAGTATGTTGGGAAAGTTGTGAGCATGTTATGCCTCAGATAGTACAAATCTGTTCCCTTGTTGGTCTGGCTCAAACCTGGATAATTTTCAACCTTTCTTCTGTTAGACTGCACTTAAAACTCAGCATATAACTCAGATTGCATAGTAGTATACTTTGTTACACGTTAATAGAGTTTGTTAACCTTCCCTTGGATCTGCAGCAAAACTTTGCATTTGGTTGTTTCTGCTCTCTGGATTCTCATCCTAAAGGCATCACTGAGGAGGATTGGAGACTGTGGCTTGAGAACTGAGCAGCATAGGCATACATGGCGGTGCCCATTCTAGGAAACGTTTGGTGTAGGATAGAGTATGCCTTTGGGAGGGTGAGCCAATCTATCCCTGTGGCTGTAGGTTTTAAAAAGGGAAAAGAGTGAACACACATGAGGCTTTACACTACAGCTTTGGTAATGCAAATCATCAAGTAGGCTGAGACCACT